TCGCACCATCACACACAATCACCACTGCACTTCACCACAACCAATCCACAATTGACACTTCCAATTCAACTGAGTCCTCACTGACACCGGTGTACCGTGTCGACCCACCAACACAAGTCATACACCGCATTCCGTCGCACACTTCCGATAGTGTACACAGCACGTCAGTCGTCATTTGACTTCATCTCAATTAATATTATATGATGATCATTGAAATTATTCGTATTGATGTGTCAAGAATTCCCAGATCAGTCCAATCTAATGCAGACAGAACACGATGAGCACAACTCAACGTGTTATATTCGGAATTTGAATTAGCCACAGAATGAAGCACAATGTAATCACAAATCGGTTCAAATAATACAACTGCTACAGCTTAAATGGGAATCCAGATTTCTGTAGTTTATTATTCATCTTCTCAGTAGGTCGGTCATGTGTCTGTCCGGTTGTGTATTGAGTATAGACTGTGTGTGATCTAGAATGTACTCATTAGTATTATAATTAACTACGGAAATTGGAACGGACTCATCTGAATCCTTGTAATATCTCTTCTAGTTGTGCACCAGATTTCAAACAGCTCCATATGGTGTTCGAAGAAATCCCCACTTGCAAAATATCCGACTGTCCACCATTTGACTCGATCGTGACGCCAATATGATCATTAGAATTAGTCGAGATGACGTGCTAACTACGAACTCCAAGCATAGTCCAATTTAATTGAGACAGAACACGATGAGAACAACGAATGAGACAGTCGGTGAATGATTGGTTTGACGTGATGCACCTCCACATGTGAGTGTCAACGTAGCTGTGGTTGATGTGGATGTGGATTGAGTAGGTGTGTTAGTTGGTTGTTGTTGTTGTTGTTGTTGTAGTAGTAGTAGTAGTGTTTGGTGAATATGTTGTGATTCAGGATTGGTGGATGTTGGTGTTGTTAATTTGTTGGTTTCGGTGTTATTGTTGGGAATGACTGAGATTGTCGTTGGTGTGATGAAGGTGAGTGAGACGTGTGTGAAGTGTTCAGTTGTGTCGATTTGATTCGACAGAGTATAGATTTTTGTGTGTGGGTGCGTTGGTGTCGAGGTGACTGTGTGATGTAGATGGTGGGTGTGTTGTGAGAGCGTGACGTTGGGGCGCGAATTCATCGTCGCTGTGGTCTAGTGGTTAGGACATTGCGTTGTGGCCGCACTAACCCAGGTTCGAATCCTGGCAGCGACATCCGCCTTATTTTCTCCACTCCACACATTCACTACCATCGACTGCATTCGCACCTTCACACACAATCACCACTGCACTTCACCACAACCAATCCACAATTGACACATCCAATTCAACTGAGTCCTCACTGACACCGGTGTACCGTACCGACGCACCGACACAAGTCATACACCGCATTCCATCGCACACTTCCGATAGTGTACACAGCACGTCAGTCGTCATTTGACTTCATCTCAATTAATATTATATGATGATCATTGAAATTATTCGTATTGATGTGTCAAGAATTCCCAGATCAGTCCAATGTAATGCAGACAGAACACGATGAGCACAACTCAACGTGTTATATTCGGAATTTGAATTAGCCACAGAATGAAGCACAATGTAATCACAAATCGGTTCAAATAATACAACTGCTACAGCTTAAATGGGAATCCAGATTTCTGTAGTTTATTATTCATCTTCTCAGTAGGTCGGTCATGTGTCTGTCCGGTTGTGTATTGAGTATAGACTGTGTGTGATCTAGAATGTACTCATTAGTATTATAATTAACTACGGAAATTGGAACGGACTCATCTGAATCCTTGTAATATCTCTTCTAGTTGTGCACCAGATTTCAAACAGCTCCATATAGTGTTCGAAGAAATCCCCACTTGCAAAATATCCGACTGTCCACCATTTGACTCGATCGTGACGCCAATATGATCATTAGAATTAGTCGAGATGACGTGCTAACTACGAACTCCAAGCATAGTCCAATTTAATTGAGACAGAACACGATGAGAACAACGAATGAGACAGTCGGTGAATGATTGGTTTGACGTGATGCACCTCCACATGTGAGTGTCAACGTAGCTGTGGTTGATGTGGATGTGGATTGAGTAGGTGTGTAAGTTGGTTGTTGTTGTTGTTGTTGTTGTAGTAGTAGTAGTAGTGTTTGGTGAATATGTTGTGATTCAGGATTGGTGGATGTTGGTGTTGTTAATTTGTTGGTTTCGGTGTTATTGTTGGGAATGACTGAGATTGTCGTTGGTGTGATGAAGGTGAGTGAGACGTGTGTGAAGTGTTCAGTTGTGTCGATTTGATTCGACAGAGTATAGATTTTTGTGTGTGGGTGCGTTGGTGTCGAGGTGACTGTGTGATGTAGATGGTGGGTGTGTTGTGAGAGCGTGACGTTGGGGCGCGAATTCATCGTCGCTGTGGTCTAGTGGTTAGGACATTGCGTTGTGGCCGCACTAACCCAGGTTCGAATCCTGGCAGCGACATCCGCCTTATTTTCTCCACTCCACACATTCACTACCATCGACTGCATTCGCACCATCACACACAATCACCACTGCACTTCACCACAACCAATCCACAATTGACACTTCCAATTCAACTGAGTCCTCACTGACACCGGTGTACCGTGTCGACGCACCAACACAAGTCATACACCGCATTCCGTCGCACACTTCCGATAGTGTACACAGCACGTCAGTCGTCATTTGACTTCATCTCAATTAATATTATATGATGATCATTGAAATTATTCGTATTGATGTGTCAAGAATTCCCAGATCAGTCCAATCTAATGCAGACAGAACACGATGAGCACAACTCAACGTGTTATATTCGGAATTTGAATTAGCCACAGAATGAAGCACAATGTAATCACAAATCGGTTCAAATAATACAACTGCTACAGCTTAAATGGGAATCCAGATTTCTGTAGTTTATTATTCATCTTCTCAGTAGGTCGGTCATGTGTCTGTCCGGTTGTGTATTGAGTATAGACTGTGTGTGATCTAGAATGTACTCATTAGTATTATAATTAACTACGGAAATTGGAACGGACTCATCTGAATCCTTGTAATATCTCTTCTAGTTGTGCACCAGATTTCAAACAGCTCCATATAGTGTTCGAAGAAATCCCCACTTGCAAAATATCCGACTGTCCACCATTTGACTCGATCGTGACGCCAATATGATCATTAGAATTAGTCGAGATGACGTGCTAACTACGAACTCCAAGCATAGTCCAATTTAATTGAGACAGAACACGATGAGAACAACGAATGAGACAGTCGGTGAATGATTGGTTTGACGTGATGCACCTCCACATGTGAGTGTCAACGTAGCTGTGGTTGATGTGGATGTGGATTGAGTAGGTGTGTTAGTTGGTTGTTGTTGTTGTTGTTGTTGTAGTAGTAGTAGTAGTGTTTGGTGAATATGTTGTGATTCAGGATTGGTGGATGTTGGTGTTGTTAATTTGTTGGTTTCGGTGTTATTGTTGGGAATGACTGAGATTGTCGTTGGTGTGATGAAGGTGAGTGAGACGTGTGTGAAGTGTTCAGTTGTGTCGATTTGATTCGACAGAGTATAGATTTTTGTGTGTGGGTGCGTTGGTGTCGAGGTGACTGTGTGATGTAGATGGTGGGTGTGTTGTGAGAGCGTGACGTTGGGGCGCGAATTCATCGTCGCTGTGGTCTAGTGGTTAGGACATTGCGTTGTGGCCGCACTAACCCAGGTTCGAATCCCGGCAGCGACATCCGCCTTATTTTCTCCACTCCACACATTCACTACCATCGACTGCATTCGCACCATCACACACAATCACCACTGCACTTCACCACAACCAATCCACAATTGACACTTCCAATTCAACTGAGTCCTCACTGACACCGGTGTACCGTGTCGACGCACCAACACAACTCATACACCGCATTCCGTCGCACACTTCCGATAGTGTACACAGCACGTCAGTCGTCATTTGACTTCATCTCAATTAATATTATATGATGATCATTGAAATTATTCCTGTATATACGAAAAAATTTTGACTTTATTTTTTTGTTCTTGTTTTTGTCTCATTGTTTTTTCCTGCACAATTTTTTATATTTTTATAAATCTACCTCATTCCGTTAGTCTGCGAATCCTTTATACTGCCTAATGTACGTTTATTCGAACCTGAATAATGGAGGTTTTCTTTCATAAATATATTTCCAACTGCTTCTATCAATTTTTTCAAATTCTTATAATCATTTTATGATATTTCTACGTGATTTTTTCGATATTCATACAACCTTCCTCTTGTATTTTCAAAGCCTAAACGTATCCTATTCAAACATATTATGATTGTTATTAACGTCATCATTACCGTCATAACGCTTAAAAACATTTTCAGAAATTTATTCAACATCCACTCCATTTTACTAATTCATATTATTCTACATATTACGACGTGATTCCTGATTTGAAATTACATTATTGTATCTCTCATCTCATGTTAACCATATTTATTCCGATCATTATTCTCACAATTTGATTTAACCCTTAAAATTATTTAAGTCAACACATCAGAATAGTCATCCCAACATTAACGTTTCTATTTTCTTTTATATTGCTGTAACTTTAAATAATGTTTGCTACCTTATACTTTTCTACTTTTTGGATTACTAATTTGAATATATAATTGTAGAACCTAAAGAGAATTTATTGAAAAGATCTATAATTTTATTTACAATCCATTGATGATCATTTTACAAGGGTAAGGTCATGAGAATACATTTGAGAATGTCTTTAAATACATGGATTAAAGAAATTGACAATCAATCTAAATATTTAAAATAAAATTAGATATACGATACCTTTAAAAAAAAACAACAACCGATACGTCAGAAAATGTAGCTTCTATAATTATTATTGGTTATTTATAGTAAGTAAGAGCTCATTGGTGCAAAATTAGAATTGATTGATGATATAATTTAAAGTTTTAGATTAAACTATTTAATAATGATATATATATATTCAAGAGTTATATCTATAAATTAACTTCATAATGCGTACTGTTACAAACGTTGGAAACTATTACACTTGTAATTCACCAAATTGTTGTCATCCGTCATGTTGGGAAACAATAAGAAAATTAATGAATGGAATTCTTATATTTAGAGCTAAAAATTATTTATGGAAACGTATTGAAAATTCAGGTAATAATGTCATTATAATGATTGATCAAGAGAAAATAAACATTACAGATATTCCATATCAGTTAATTTATGATTCATTTGCGCAATCAATATTTTCGGATTCACAATATGGTTATAAGTGTAAGTTCCTATTTCTCTTTTTTTTTCATATCTCATGAAATAATCTCATAAGCAAACAGATTTATCGTTTTGATCAAATTGTCATAAAATTACTGAATATTAACTAGGTTTATTGTCATCATCATATAACGATGTCTTATATAAACCCTGTTAGCAAAATAGGGCTGAGATTAATCTCATTGTATTCAGCGTTTAAAAAGTCTGTCATAACCAACACTTTCGTTCGTTTTCTCTCATTTAGTGAATGAGTGTTGCATATTAGTGTTTAATTTCCATTAAAGATTTTATTTAAGGCATCTGCAGTTATTAATAGCTATTTGATTTAGTGGAACCCAATATTTTAAATATGAAGCATGAATATATTGAAAGTTAGGATTTAAAGTGAAATCTGTACATAAATTTATACCCTGTTATGCAGTAATGATCTATTAAATAAAAGAAATATGACAGAAAAAATTTGTTGAGACACTTGTGGAATATTGAAAATATTGAGGGTAACCTCAGACGCTAAATTATGTTGAATGAACTAAAATAGAGTATATTTTTTTGACATAAGAGTAAAGTTAAAATCATGTGTCCGGTAATGAACTAACATTATGTAAATGAATTTTAAAACTGTAAATTCTGAACAATAATAAGTCTATAATCCTAAGGTTTCTCATAGAAATAAAAACGTATGAACTGGGGATGAATATTAGCTAACATGATAATATAACTTTGGATATTGCTTGATGATTTAAAACAAAGGGTAAAGAAGTGTTCAATTAGAGCATTTAATTACTTCCGTATTAGATACCAAGGTTTATCATAACACTCTCCGCACAAACGATTTTAACAGTACGAAGTAAAATCTACAAAACATTGATTATATGCTTATCCAAAAAAATTTAACTATTGGGTCCACTGCTTGATGAACTATTCCCATTGAACAGAAAATGTACAGTTTATGTTTAATTCATTCTTTAAGTTTTAGATTTTACTGACGTGCACGTCAGAAGTAAGATCGATACCATTATCTACGTAAATACATCCATAGATGTATACCGAAGGAAACTTAGTGTTACTGAAAAACCCTGTAGAAGTTATTTTTCTCTTCATTCTGATCTGTAGACATCTGTCAACATTTAAATTTATGATAGACACGTATGCATTTATTACTAGCTATGGGAATAAGAGTTTTAGGGTAATAATAACAGCTAGAAAAAAAAAGCCACTTATTTAGGTGATTTAGAATTAAGGTAAATAAAATGATAGGAATGGGAATGAATAGAAAAATAATTTAAAGATTGATAAAAGATAATTTGAAAGTGACACATTCGCTCCAATGAGTTCCAGTCTAATAAATTCACTAGGAATTTCAGAATGTTCTGTTCCATTTACTTGTAACAACGAACAGATGAACATCGAATCACTGAGTATGAACACAGAGGTTATCGTCAACAGTTCTTTATCACAAATATGTATACTTACGGTTTGCTTCAAAAGAGTTAATCATCACTGTGAATGATTTCTAGATAGTCTTATATACATAGATTTTATTGTTTTTTTCTTTAAAAGCGTTTAAAGTTCATAAGAGCTAAATGTTTATACTTTCATTTAACATACCATTTGCATCCTCTATCTATTAAATGAATGTTTTTGCAAGCATCTTAATCATATTTGGTATAACAAAATATAACTTTCGCCGAGGAAAATGAATATTACTAACAGTAAATAAACAGTATGAATCAAACATCGATAATATGACATAATAAACAGATTATAATGGACTGAAAATTTTAGTTATTGAAAGGATGAATGAGGTCCCCAAATAACTTCTGGGATCATGTGACATTTTATTTGCGAATAATATATATGCAGTCCAAGACTTCATTTCGTAATTATTTATTTATTAATCAGTAAGACACATTAAGTATTGTTTCTCAAACCATCAAAAATATTGTCATTGATTGAGATCATGAACCGATTATTGTTAGATCACCATTGAAAACCTGGAAGCATTAGACGACTGTTTCCTCTTACTAAGGGACTCCTTAGCAGTGCGTATCTGTGACCCAGCTCGTGGGTTTTGAACCCAGGGCGGGAATGTGAATGCGCACTTTTGTGGAGTACCACAATAAGACGAAATGGCCATCCAATACTTCCAGGTTTTCAATAGTGATCTAACATCGATCGGTTCATGATCTCAATCAACAACTTAATAATCTCCACAACCCTATACTGAAAAATATTATCATCTAGCAAGTAGTTCAAATGAATTAACAGTCGGTAAAATTCACATCTCGGAATGTCTTTTTTTAAAATGTCTAATAGCTTATTTTAATTTAAAAATTCATTCATGTTTGTTTTAATTTTCGTTTTAGCTCCAAGATTAACAAATTATGCCTATTTCATGATGGACAAATTAAAAAGATCTCATATAGAGAATAGAAAAATTAAAGAAGGTGAATTAATTAATGAAGATAATCAAGATATTAAGATTGATGAAGAATGTGTAAAAAATTCAGAAGAACATTTAATTGCTTTGAATTTACTTAAACATCAATTAAATAAGTGTGATCATATAGAACAAGAAAGTCAATTAAAGTCTCCTTATGTCTGGATACCATCAAAGAAGTTAGACAAGTTAGAAAATAAACCAATAAAGTAAGGGTTATTGAATATATATTATTTAATCGTGTTTTGCAAGATAAGGTTTGACAGAGTATGTATTTATACGAATATACCAAAACTACTTACAATCCAGAAATAGTGATTATTTGTAGGTGATTACACTAATAGATCTGTCAGTTTAGACTATTTCTTTCTTATAGGCACATGTTATTAATAATTGATTGATCACTGGGTGGTGATCAATGTCATGTGTTTCAGGTTCTTCTAAGTGCAGATCGAATCCTGTCAAAAAAGTTGAAACGTGGCCACTATTCTAGGTGACTTGACATTGCGTACACTATGTTGAGATAAGATGGTGGTTGGAGATAGTCAACAGGAGACCTTGGACCAAGGTTTCGTGCTATTTGACACTCGTCAGTAAGGTGTACTTGTTAATAATTAAATGAATTGTGATTTTTACAATATTCAATTAGCTTTCTGACAATTTAGTAGTTACTGCAGCATAGAAAAGTGATAGTTTTCTACAACTTTTATAATTTGTTTCAGTAGCCGGTTCACAACTGATCAGTAGATTTATCTGAATTCTAGAAAATCCGATTATTCATAATTGATTTTAACTCAAAGATTTTCTTGACTAGATCTGAATTTTTCGATAACACAATTGTACCAATAAAAATCATAGTATTGAATGAAGCAACTGTTACATACATTTAATTTTTATAACCTTTTCAAGTAAGATCAAGTCAAAAGGGAACCTGTTTCTGAATTAATCGTATTGCTTAAATCTGTTAACAGTATACTCGACACTATCTGCCGTTCAACTTATTAGATTAGAAAACATATGATGGTAAGATTAGTGAAAAACACCATCTAATGAAATAATAATAATGAAATAAATAATCAATAGAACAAAGGATCTCATGTCCAACTGATCAAATCTCTGAGAGCAGAGAGCACAACACCTCCAAAATCTTCTTCCTGAGACACAATATTCACCATTATTTTGAGTAATTTATTTCATCGTGTTAACATAAATATTCAGTAGACAGTGAGAAGTAAAACAGGTAGAAATCGAGTAACCTTACCGAACTGGGAGTCGTGAGCATTGATCAATTATCACTTACACTGACTAATTCGCATACTAAAAACACAATTATTTCGTTTTTTATCTTATCGAATAATAATCTTTGTAACATTCATTACAGTATATGTCAATCGAACAAAGAAAAAATTAGATAGTACTGACCAACTATTTCGTACAACACACGTTTGTAATATAATTAGGTTGCAAAATATTAACTTTATGAGTTACTGGTCAATGAAATATTAAACATTTTTCAGTCTACCTGTTGAAAACCGATTCTATGTAGCGTTTGCTTATATATATATATCCGCAAACTATTCTAAAGTTGGTATGATTTATCCCCTTTTAGATGATAAAATCTGAAGCGAAAATCATCCTAGAGACCACATAAATAAAATTGTTTGGTGAATTTTATTGATACTAAGGCATTTATTAGAGCTTAATTTATCTTTCTCTTCTTGAAAAAAGTTTAATGAAGAGCTTTATGTAATTTCTGAAACCGTAAACATTCAAAGAGGACAATAAAATAGTGTTTAGTTTTGGTACAAAACTCTTCTAGAGTGTATTAGGTATTTGGGTTTGAGAAGCGTACCTATATTTAAAGACTGTTTTCATTTAATTCTTATTCTGAAGTGTTATTCAATTCAAAGTAGCATTAAGTATTATCGCATTTGGTTATAGTGGTATAAGAAAATAATAGAGGCAGTTAGTCTATTATTATGAATATCAAAGTCTAGTTTTTTTTCTGGTACAAGTGATGATAGTATGCGCACTGCCGAGGAGTCCTACGATAGACCGAAATGGCCGTCCAGTGCTTCCAATTTTTCCATGGTGCTCTAGATTCAATGGACTCATGATCTCAACCATTAAAATAGTAGTATTGCTGAAACTAAACACGACCTACTAAACTTCAAACCAAAAAGTTTTTATTAAAACCTGTGTTATACTATCAAAATAGCTTCGTTTAAAATTGATAAACCACGTAGTAGGATCTTTTTAATGTGAAAGATTGACTCAGAACTTAGTCATATATGATAAGTGTTAAATTTCATTCGGCACTGATTTTTGAAGAATTTCTTTTGAGTAACGATGATGTCTGTCCTAAATAATAATTCCTTTGTAAATTATTACGCATCGAATTCAAGTAACAAATTTAATACCTTTAAGTGTGCCCACTGCTTTCTCTTTGACTTCAGTGTTGGTCCATTCATATCTAATAGAGTACATATTGGAAGTACTGAAATTACAAGTAAGTATATCAAACTAAATTATACTACTTCAAATTACCACATCAACACTTGATTGTACTTAATTTACATGACGGTCAAAAATAGTTCTTGGGCTTTCATATAACTATTACAGAAAATATTTCAGTACTTTTATCCAGAGACTTCAATTTAGTTCGAACAATTAAGAGATTTCATGGATTTAATGTGAGAATAGTTGCAAAGAGGTTTCTGAACTTGACTATCGATTAACACGTAATTAAAGTACTTCATTTAAAAATGTGCAATTCAGTGAAAGTGACTTTTTACAACGATTATATGTATGGTTGTACAGCATGATAATAGGTTCATTGGAAAGAGATCATGTCACTAAACTTTATGGCTTTTACTTCCTAACGATATCCTATTAACACCATTTTTTTCAATAAACCACTTAGTCTGAACAGTGAAAGCAAAACAATTTTATTTCATTCTGTTATCACAAAAATGATTTTATTAGAAAGAAAAGAACTAAACGGAAAGGTAACGGTAATCTACTATTTATGTTGGCATCAAAGCCAGAAAAATGTCAGTCATTTGTTCGACAGATATCATCACGAAAAAAAGATGCGAATCAAACTCTAGTTAGTGATTACAAAATAAAGAGAAATGAACAAAATGATGTATCTGAAGAAACCTCTTGTATGGTAAGATAAAAACTATCATTCTGTAAACATTTTGTAAGATTTTTGAACTTTGTGTCGGTTAAATTGTTAGATTAATTGAAGTTACATTCAGTAAACTGCGTCTGTCACATTGAATAAGCATCTGGAAACATTATTATACAGTGTTTGAGTATGACAGTGTATGGCATAAATTAGAATAACAGATTAATTCTCACTAACCACTAGATTTCATTATACGACCAGTGAAAATTGAGCACAATCTAAAATTAAACTTACATGCTATGTTGACATGATATTTTGGACCTCATACTTATTACTTATATAGTCGTAATATATTTAAAGTTTATTCGGTTCTGGTTTGTTGGAAATTTAGGTTTTTTTTATCCTAGAAATGCTCTTTTGCAAGAAGTCATCAAATTTAATGTGCACTTAAAGAGTATTAGTTCTGGTCAAGTTTTACACGCTTACCGTTCCTGATTTGGTCGATTGATTGAAATTAAACTTGGATGCAAACAATTTACCAAGTCAGAAATTTTGCATTAGCATTATATTTGAACTTTAATTTTCACTCGATTCCAGTAAAGTGCCGTATTGGTTTGCTAAAGGTTTTCTAGCCTGTGTATATTACCACTAACTAGTGGATAGGTGATTTACAAATATAAGCAAATAGCTATATCAGATTTAATGCACTAATTACTATTAAAATATCATCATGGATTTAGAATATTCTCTTAACGTTTAACTACTTTTAGTATTGAAAAGATGACCATATACTCACAAATGGATGAATATAAAAAGACTCAGAAAACTGTATTGCTTTATACGGATCTATAAATTAATTGATTCTCTGAGCCTAATGTATTGACTTTTACACCATTAAATGATTTGTTTGTTAGACAAAAAGTCAGTTTTGAATTATGCACTCAATGACAATCAATTGGTATTAGAATATAGTTCAAGGTGAATTCTTATTAAGGTAACATTAGACGTCTGTTGATTCGATTGGAAAATGTATTATAAAACTTGTTACGTTTTATTCAATTTACTGATAAGTAAATTGCTAAACCTTATTGACTACATTTATATATTAGTCTACACTACAGCGTACTGTACAGCTTAAACTACCTATTAATTACAGAAGATAATGAGTAAGATTTGGGGTAAATTTAGTTTGTTTAGATAGAACTAACCGAATGTAGTAATCTGTAATTAAAAGTACATTATATCTAGAGTGAATAACGTAAGTGTAACAATATTTAGAATGCTTCATTAGAATAATATTATAACATATCATCTATACTCTTCTGTTTGGAACAAAGTTTAATAAGTCAAATATGCAAATAGAGTTGATGATTATAATAAATTAACACAAGAACTAGGAAAAAACACAGAAAAACTCCAAAACTTGGTATCGAAATTTGTTCATAATGACAGTAGCACATAAAATTTTAAAAAAAAACTTAAACAAGACCTATTTTCAAATTTGATAATTATGAATGATGTAGTCATAGTGACTTATAAAGATAGAATAATGACAAGTGAATAAAACTATAATTTAAATACTTAGCAGGGAACATACAGTATTTACTATAAAACAAAACACAACTTAATATTTAATTTACAAGACGCTATTCAATTTCATTATCAATTCTGAAAAATCAATAATGAATGCACTTTTGTCAATATTTTAGGTAATTTTAAAATCAATTATTGAATTACCTTAACACTTACACAATGATATAAACTTTAATTTATCTTTTACACATCATTATTCATATAGATTCTTCAAGTGAATTCCAATTTTTTTCGAATTAAAAATTTTGTAAATAATTGAAATAAATCAAATCTGATGGTGTTGTATTTATCATTATTATTATTATTATTATTATTATTATTATTATTATTATTATTATTATCAGCTTTATTCAATATTATATTTTTGGTATAATATAGAATTCTCAGCACAAAGTATTTCAACATGTTTCCGTTTCTTTCTTCTTGGTCGGTCCTGGCGATAGATATCGAGTGATCGCCAGTTAGATGTTAGCAGTTCAGTAAATGAACATCTGAATAATGTGCATTCTTTTCGTTGTATATTGCCAGCAATCACATTGTCTCTTATTGAGTTTTTTGTAACATTGACAACGAAAGGTTGTACATTTGTCAGAAACGTAACAGAATAGGTTATGTGATTAATAAACAGAATGATATATTAAAACAAACAAAAATATATAACTTGTTGAAATATCTAGATGGCAGGAACAGGTAGCCCAGATGCTCAAGCAGGCCGCCCTTTATTTCTTTTTTAAACTAATTTAGCCATTGTGCAGAACAGAAGTCGAAACTAAAATAATGATTTTTGTAAGCAATGATGGATAGTGGCTAGCAGTGGAATCCTGCTGACGAGTCCCAAATAGAGCGAAACGCGCATCCTGGATTCTACTGTTAGCCACTATCCATCATTGCTTACAAAAAGCTTGTGAATTAAGGCAATATCGAGGCATACGCACAGTATGCACATATACCAATAACAGACTGATGAATTGCGGTCTTAAAAACCTCAATGGGAAGATACAAGCCAAACAATACCAAGTGGATGTAAAATAATGATTGACTAATTATTTTCATTTAAATAATCAAACCGACGTGATTTAATGTTTTGATGGTGTTGCATTTACTCACTTGAATAGGTGAATCGATTCACGTTTCATCATAATTCTAAACAAGTTTGTTTTTTATCAGAAGAGGTTTTATAGAGATTTTAGAAATTTCAATAGTTTGAATCATGAGCTAGAACACTATGGAAAACCTGCAAGCACTGGACAACCGTTCAGTTCTATTGTGGAACTACTTAACAGTGCGCATCCACAAACCCTCCCCCGCGAGAGTTTGAACCCAGGACCTATCAGTCTCGCGCGTGAGCGTTTAACCACTAGACCACTTAGCCGACATCCAATGGTGTTTATATCTAACTTCAATTAATCCATGAAATTGTTTTTATTAATCAATTCCAAGAAGCCATCTTTTATGATTATCGTTTTGTTTAAGAATATTTGAAAAGATGCAGTTAGATATTTTTGGTACTAGAAATATTGGTCATATTGTAGTGAACAAGAACACAAGTGGGGAAAGTCGAATGTATTTTGACACAAAATTACAGCATATCTCACTAAAATCTGAGAACCATACAGTAAAAAATCAGTTTGCAAAATATCAATTATTTGCCTCAATGTTGACTGCTCCTTTAGCAAATATCAGTTCATCGTCTCGGATTTCATTGATCGTGCATTTTCATACCAATTACTCTTCGTTTCCGTTCTTCGCTTTCGATCTTCCACTGAAATACATTCTATGTCTGATCATCGTTAAATACTACATATGTGAATATAAGTAGCTCACACCACAATGCGAGTGACAATTTTAGAACAAAACGATACTCGGATTCATTAATTATCGGTTATTTGCATGATATTATAAGTCCTGATTATAACCAAATGTTTATACATTTTTCTTATATTTTAGCCACGATGGATGATTTCCTGTCATATAAGCGGACAAGCCCTAAGGGCAAGATTATTACCCTTGGCTCGAGCACAAATACGTCGACATATTCAACAAGGAAGTCTAATATTGTGTCCTAGCATAAGTAATATTGAATCGGACAGAAGTTCAGAAAAAAGAATAAGTGACAGTAAGGTTTCATCGACAAAAATCCCAGAAGATGTATGTGGTTTTGAAGGAGATGACCAACAAATGTTAGTACTTTATGTTAATAGAAAATTTTTATTTTCTGGATTAAATAGAAAAAGATATGGTGGTTGTGTATATAAGTGTTTAAGTCTATTCGTTGTGGCTATTAAGGACCATTATTTATCAATCTCAGTCGGCATGTCTTTTATGAACAGATTGTTCCCATGTAGCCAAGCGGTCATAAGTTTGATAACATTACTTTTTAAACATCAACACTGAAATCCAGGCACATACACCTGGCAGTTCCCAAATATGTCAAAAATAGGCTTCCTGGATTCCACTATCAGCCAAAACCGGAATACGCTAGCTTCCTAGGCAAAGACTTATATATTTAAAGTATTAGACATCAAACAAACGTTGATGTTGTTGTTTAAATAGTATATAAATTTCAGCGAGAAACATATTAAGCTATTGTTTTACTTATTAAGTACACTAGAGACTGGAGTAATGAAGTATTTCAATGAGATAGTCTTAATAACACGAATTAGTGTGAAGTTACCGCTACTGTTACAGTGAGTACTATGGTTAAGTTATTTTTATTAATAGTTTAACTTTTCAGTCATGCAACACGATTACCTGATAACCAACCGTCAAACTGAACTTGATCTCTAAACTACCATTGATGATTAAACTACTAATCTAAGAGTTGAACAAACTGCAAAAGTTAGGTTAACTATTTATATGTGTGGCAGTTTACATAAAATAATCCATCTTGGATAGCATAAAGTGGATAAAAACTTAAGAATTTTAAACCGTGAAATATTATACTTAATATTATGAAAATATCATTACGCGTAACCTCAATTTCTTTGAGTTTATTTATGATACCAGCCTAAATTTTAACCAATTAGTTCCATTATTGTGAAACATCACAAATATCCTACTCTGTTTCTGATTACAATTTCGAGTTAATTCAGAAAGCTAATAATCAAAATGATCTCGTCCTTTGGCAATAGATATATGAAAAAGACTCATTCGCCCAAGTGATTTCATATCACACTTTGTGAGTATCATTGCTACTATACTTGAAATAAAACTGATGGAGTTACTAAACAGTAGATCAAAGAATGGTTTTAATTCTGAGCATGAAACATCATAACATTATTTAGATATCATGGATTATCACAAAACTATGGGTGACCGAGAAGTTTATTGAAATGCAGGCATGAAAAATAGGCATAGAAGTTCGATCTCGATTTAAGATAATTGAGACCGAAAGTGTTAGGTTCGAATTCTGTGTGCGAGATCGTGGATTCGCACTGCTGAGGAGTCCCACACTAGGAAGAAACAGTCATACAATGCTCCCAGGTTTTCAATGGTGGTCTAAAATTGATCAGCTTATGATTTTAATGAAATAAAAAAGGTCCTTTTTATAACACTTTACTGATTATCTTAGCAATAACAAGTATTTTATAGTTATTCTTTTAATTTCCACTGTAAAGGTTAGCAATAAAACACTGAAATATGTCATTCTTTCGAAATTTGTTTTAATCATTTTAGTTTATTCACTAGAGAACTTACTATACCAAACCAGAAACTTATTTCTTTTAATGAGTCATTTAAGTCGAATGGGGTAAATTTGGAACAGTACCAGCACACTAAACCGTATTTTTTGAACGAACTATTAAAATCTCAGTGTTCTAGACATGATAAACAAAAAGTTTCTGATTCTCCAATTCAAGTAAGTCCGATTGTTTTTAATTTTAGTCGTTTGTTTTATATTACTAAAATAAAGAGAGTAGTTGACATAGAGATATGTTTCTAGTTGAATCTACACTAGCAACGAAATTAAATACAACATTCTGTGTAGAAGTCTCCTTACCAATAAATTCGTATACATATGTATGATTATATTTTAATAAACACTCAAGTAAAAATTCATGATTTTTTATCCGACAAGATAACAATTCATTCTGTGTATGAATGGTCGGTATATCTTAAAAAGCCATTTGGAAAACTGTCATGCATTATCAGTAATCGCTTAAATTTAATTTATTTCACGTGATGTCAATAATATTAGTAACCTTTATAGACAAAGCCTTTCAAGTAATTATGTGTACATTTCATCTCATAAACAATTATATTCCGAAGGAAAATTATTGTTTTTCACTTCGAAAATTGATTAATTGGTCATGTTCATCCATTCCTTTATTCAGCAAACTACTCATCAACCTATAAATTAATAACAAATGAATATTGATCTACTTAAAATTTATGAAACAAATCCAGTTGGCCAGTTTTTATTTCTTACTTAGTATTTGTTCTATAGTTTAAACTTGAAGATGCCACAGGGATTCGGAGTTTGACAACGCTTTAACCAGTAAAACCTAATATGAATCGTACCCACCAAGTGAAATCAAAAGACAGAATCGAGGAGGTTAGCAGATATATTTGATAGACTATCAATACATCGAGGATAGTCTGGTCTAATCTGGCTAGCGATTGCAGAGGTTTTTGAGCACGGCGTTCCCACTCGTGATCTGGTGTGGATGCATGACCAAGCACCTTCAGCTAGGTGAGTCCATTAAAACTAATGTGGTCAGCATCCAATGTCGAAAACTTACAGAGCTATTTATTTTGGAGATTTATTTACCGCTACAAACTTATCAGTCAAATACACATGTATATGTGGTGATAAGTTGATGTAATTACACATTAACAACTAAATTAATCGATCATATTCATTAATTAATACTGAACTAACTTTACAATCTATTTTTGCTCAACACAAAGCGAACACGAAACAAACATTCACCAAATGATCACCATTTAAAAAAATTTTTTTAGTGTTGTACTCATTTATCAGCTAATTAAAATAACCCATTGTGTCACTGAATAAAAATAGAATTCGGCGAAGAAAATCTCCTTTCTGACGAGATCATTTACAGTTTAAGTAAATGATTTAATCGGGAAGAAACTTCTCTTCACTTACTTCCTTTTATTTTTATTCATCCATCAGCTTTTATTATTAAATAAGGTGCCGCTTTTTTCAATTGATTATTTATATTACTTAGGAACAAGATGAATTAAAAGCAAAGTCACATTTGTTAAGTGACCTGTTACTATTTCAACAGTCCAGACTAAAAAGATCTGAGCCAACTCCTCCGCACCATTATATGAGTTCTATTGATAATCTACAAAGTTTATACATGAACCGATGTTATACATCACCAATTAATTGGCCATCTTTATTACCTAAAAATTCAGAGTTGAAAGAAACAAGCTACAATTTGGGTGAAATGATTCCACCATCATCTAGTCAAGAAAAATACTACACTAATGATATAATACAATCAAGAAATTTATGTAAGATCTATGAAATCATGTTTGCTTTCTGAATTATATTGTCTAAAAATTTGATATTAATGTAATTTAGAAATTTTGAAGTGTTATAAGTTATCTGCGTTTGAATGTCCTAATGTGGTGCGTGCTACTTATATTGATGTAAATAGTATATGACGCGAGTTAAAAACGTAATGGCAGTAGAAGATGGGAGAAGATCAAGAAAGAAAGAGCAGGAACACAATGCGATTTGTAAGAAAACTCATGAACAATAAAATGTGAGACAATGAATTGATGTTTGCAACAGGAACAGTCCGGTTTGATATGATGGATTAATAATTTGCAAATTAACGATTTGCTATATGGTTTTCCTATTTTACCAAGTAACTCTGTAATTCTGTACAGCTCGGTTGTCCCCACCTGTATTCTGTTCACTACACTAAGATTAAGCGACTTTGATGTTTTATTCATATTTTGTATTTCATTGCTCCTAGTTTTTTCATCATATCTTATTATTAAACCAAGTGTGGTAGTTGATAGGCATACCAATTTTTGATTATTGAATTCTTTCAAGATTGATTTTATCAGTCTGTACTAATAAAATATGAAATCACAAGTTTTTTAAAAAAAACAACTCATATCTACTAAATCAGAATTAGTTGTTGGTAAATAGGGTGTTGGTATTTTGAAATAATGAATGAATTGTAAGTGGTGTATGATAATTTAAGTTGAAATATCAACATGAATGTATGTCAGTTGAATTGACATGTCCCATATATATTATGAACAAGAATATATGTTGAATTCTTCTATCATCAATCATTGACTAAAATAGCAATTGTACAAAATGTATTACATCTCATCATTGACACTAACTAATAATAATAGTTTAAAACTAAAAGTTCATGAAAGTACATTTCTTAAATTATCAGTTTTTCTACTTCACATTTTGTCTGGATATTTTAATCTATTTGAATATTATTTGATGGAAATAATCAATTTAATTTTAAGAAACGAATCGAGGTAGTAATCGAATTTATGATCCCAAATGAAAGTCAGAAATTTTGAAAAGTTCTAGAAAATATGAACATTCATGTTGAATACTTTTTATATTCACAATTGATTGATATCACTGGGTGGTGATCAATGTTATGTGTGTCAAGTCCTTATTTAATACAGATCGAATGCTATCGACCATCTTGCAATGTGGTCACCAGTCTAGGTGACTCGACACTGCGTGCACTACACATTGAGATTAGATGGTGGTTGGAGGTAGTCGACAGGGTTTCCTGTCGATTAAAGTGTAGTCTATTTATGACACTGTCATCAGTTATAATTTTGTAATAGTTTTAGATGTATAATTTGGGTTTTTTTAATAAACTGAGTTGATTAAATTGTAACTAATCAATGCTAACTAATCTAATATCTCCTATATGCAATAAATTATTAACACATTAGATAAGGATTTATAATGCTATTTGCTTACCATCATCTTCATACAGATGACGTAGGTAGAAAATTTCTGATTATTAAAAATAATGAAAATGTATTTCAAAATTGGATCAGTCTGATTTCTATATATTAATCAGAAAAAAGTGTTACTAGTTCATTTAATTCAAATATATAAATTTCCAGTATAGACATTTGAACGTTCTTGTCATTTCACCATTAACTTTATAATAACTTCTTACAGCGATCTTCTAGTATACATACGTGATCTTTGATTTGTAGAAACTGATGAGTAAAAAAGATAACAGAGTATGTTCAATGAAAATATAATTTCTTGTCCGACATTCGTTTCCCCCTTCCAGCCAAACAAGGTAGTGAAGCCTAACAGGCCCCTCTAGAGAAAAACAGGCTAAATCGAAGCACGACACAACAACTTTTTTTGCAACCGGTCAGAGTTTGTCCCATAAGGAGCAACCCCATACATTATATGCACTACTTTTGTGAATTTTTGTCGTTTTTAGATTCACACATATATTGTGATTCTTCGTGGATTTCGTTATCACTTTCAAGGTATCGGTCGAGTGGGGTGATTGGCCCAATCTCTACCACCTGTATACCGCTCACGATAGTTCATGGGTCATTCGTCCCACTATCCAGGAGGCACGACGTGAACGTGTGAGTCGAGTTTTGTCTTCCGTCCAGAATTTTAAGATAATTTAAGCGTTATGATAGAAATATCAACAATCATATATTACTTGAAAGTTCAATGATTACTTGAATATAATAATATTTCATCATTATTTTCAATTCACATAATCATCCATATCTGATATTACAAACAAGGAGACATCCCAAGAACATTTTAGTCAGCTATTGCCAAAGGATAAATAATAACTTCATTGTAAAGGTTTAGAGTTAACCGGTTTGACAAAGCCACAAATTTTTGAATAAATAAATTTAACCAGCTAAGTAAATAATGTTAACTTTCAAAAGGCATAAAATATTAATTTGAATTATCGGCTATTTTCATGAATTTCATTCAACAAAATTACTTAAACACAACACTGTTATTTTATTTTCCATTATCTATAGTTCTCACAAGTACTTATATGTCTATTTTTTCAAACAATCATACTGAACCAAGATACTGTTTCTTCTTTCTTTTTTTTTTAGTGGAAAACGAGAATTCATTATCTAATATAAATGATTCATTTGAAAATGGTTCAAATTCAGTTGCTATATGGCAAATCATGCCTGGAAGATTACTTCGTAGATCTAAAACTCAGTATATATTGAATAAAAATCAACAATTGAAAAATGATCAAATTTGTACAGATAATTTGAAACAAACAAAGAATGAATTGAAATTAAATTTTATGATTGGTAAGTTATTTATAAAGTCATTAACAAATGAATAATTCCATTTGATGGTTTTTGTTAACACTGTTCATCAAGTTGATTCACTGAGATACAATATAGAAACATTTAGTAAGAGGGTTTCGAATTACTTAAACTACTAAGCGTAGAAGGACCTTGGTCGACATAATCTCGTAAACTCTAAAGATTAGATATAAACGACATTAGTTATTATTCAGTAATCGGTTAGTAGAAATCTAGAATAATTTAACTTATAATGGATTCCGTTCATATAGAGGTTCTTCTTATGATGTTATTCTTTTTAAAACTTACATGAAGTCTACAAAATTATTCTGTCTACCTGAAATAGATCGTACTGTATTACATTTCGTTTGTTTAATTTCAATAAGCGCTTACAAATCACACTATGATGTACCGAGTGAATTCTACAGTGTCATCTTATCAGCTATCATGATAAAAGAACATGTAATTACTTTGTTCATCCAATAAGAGAGAATCACACTAAGGAATGCATTTGAGGAAACCATGTGCTCATAAAAATTAATAAATGTAGTCTTGAATATCAATAAAAGTGGTTAATTTAAATATTCCACGCTAATCACTAATTGAATAATAGAAAAATAAAATTACTTGACAAAAGAAAACAGAGGATTAAAAAGTAACAATGTACATATTCAGACAAGAGAAGCAAAACATTTGATTCCGAAAAGCAATCTTGGGAAGAATAAGATTATTCACAGCTTTACAAGTTTAAATCACACGACACCACTGAAAACGATTATGGTATAAACAGATTGTATTTTCACTGTGAAGATATACTCCACACTAATATGAGGTAATAACTACATGAATAGAAATATGTGAAATGAAAATTCCGATGAATCATTTCATACTTCATTTCAAGCAATGTAGCTATTCTCTCATTTTAATTCCAACACACCATATTACATAATATCTCAAACTCAACGTGCATAGAAATTCTCATGGTTGTTTCACATTTTCAGTAGAGTAAAATCTGGAGTTTGCCAGTTATGCTTACTTGGAGTAAAAAGATAACTTACTATGGAAAACTAATTGACTAAACATGATAAGTTATCAAATGACAGTTTATGTTTAATTTCATTTAAAGACTAGTTCTTTAAGATGTATAACCATTGGCTCCACCTGTATCCTTTGTAGTGTTACTGTCGGTCTCAAGCCCAGATAAAGGAGTACTGTGTACGAGGAACAAGTGAAATCCAACCGGAAAAATCTCATATATATCAATTGTATAAAAATGATAACTGTATTTGTAGAAAATGCACTTCTAGGCAAAGTTGATAGAGAAACATTCGTATGCCTAATAAAACTTAAGACGAATAGCATACCGATTAATAATCATGCGATTTATTACATTTTAATCGTCTATTATTTTCTTTAAATGACAGATCGTTTGTTTACTTTATTCAATACTGATCAATATAAATTAGATTAAAATCATTTTTAATGGATTGCAAGGTAAAGTTTGAACAAGTGTGTGGTTATCAACCATACTATATTCAGACAGAGTACTTCGAAATATGATCTCCAATTGCATATCATTTTATTAAAAGAAGAAAGCAAAACGATCGTGTTTTCAGAAATGAGATTGTTAATTTCACTGTAATTCTGTTCAAATAAGTATTAAATCAGTTGACTAATCTATCGTGTATCCTTTCAGTCAACATGTTCTCCCATCTGGATTAGCTGAACATAAACAAGTCTCTCCTGATTGATCGATATTATTTCACTTATTCATTTCTGTTGTCTGGTGGTAACATGATTTATTGAATTTTCTTGATGCTAATAAACAGTGCTCTTGTAGACTAAATCTATATCTCGAAACAATTTAATTTCCTCTATTTATCGTATCATATATTTAGGAAAATTTTCGCTAAAAATCATAGATAATGTATTAGTTAAAACTTGTCACCAATGATTCCATTTTGGATAACACTAAAATCGAAAAAACATACATCATTTATACAGAGCTTGATATTTGGAATCAGTATGCAAGAAGTGGTTCAGCTAGATCTTATCAGCTTTCGTTAAAATGGCTTCGTTGAAAGATTTCAGTAAATTGACTTGCTTACTTACTGAAACGAACAGAGTAATTTTATTTTCTATCGTTTGTAAATTTAAAAAAATAACAGCTATCATAAAGTTTTAAGTGTCCTATTGTATTTTTAGAGAATATTAATAATCAACACCATAGGAAGAAATCACTGGATTCAAACGTTATCAATGGTACTTCAGAAGTGGAACTCTTGAGGCCAACAGAAGATACACATGAACGAGATAATGATGGCTTTAGTGAGAACAGTAGCTGTTTCAATAATTCCTACTGGTCTAGCCGACGTCATCCAGGTTATATTGAACGTATGCATACAATAGGTTCTGTTTCAGATCGTAAAAGATTACTTCAAGACAATAACAGTAAAAACAATAATTACAGAAATTACATCGCTCCAGAGAAATACAAATTTGTCGATTCAGTTGATTTGATCACCTTGAAACCTAAAACAAAATCTTTTCTACCACAAATACGTCATTCTGTCTCAACAGAAAAACACTGGAACAAAAATATATTGGGACTTAATTCCTGTGATTTAACTGATCAAGCTAATCATTCCAGTTCATTACCAATGTTAATTAAGCCACCACCGCCTAGTCCGGATGTAAAGTTTTTAGATTTCTCATGAAATATCGAAAAATTACATATATAAATAAAACAAGTGTTCTCTTACTTTAAGTCAGTAGATATTATTTTCATTTTTGTAAACACAAAACTGATACTTGATTTTCATGGCTGAATCATGCTACTACTAGACTACATAGATAGTTAGACTTTATTTTCACTCATATCACTAACAGACTGACTAGATTTGATTAGTGAAAGTTGATAGTCAATAAAGATTGAGGCTGATTACTTAAATTTTATTCTTAAAAAGAAATTGATAGGTAAGTTTATTTTAGTGATTAAAAAGTCACTAATTATAACCTTCACATGATATAGCCCATAGACAATCCATCTTGGACGATAACTAGTCTGTGAAACGTTTTTGTACAGACTGAGTAACTTATGAGATACGACCTAATCAAGCCAAGTAAAATCGAATTGCTGATATTTATTGTGATATCTTTATGGTGATAAAAAAGTATTCATATATGTTGAATGTTGCTAGACTGAAATACATAGAAAACCACTAAATAATATTACAACGATCAATTGATCTCATTTATTTTGAACACGATATCAGTAATTATGATAGATCAATTCCTTATGGTGTGTAAAAGATGTGATATAGAACTCTGATATATTAAAACACTGAAAAAAAGCGAATAAATCAAAAAGTTGGCAGCATAATAAAAGATTTATTGATTTTTATAATATTAATTGTATTTACAATTGATTGATCACTGGGTGGTGATAAATGTTATGTGTCTCAGATCCTTCCGAGTGCAGATCGGATCCTATCAACAAAGTTGCAATGTGGTCACTATCTAGGTGACTTGACATTGCGTACACTATGTTGAGATAAGATGGCAGTTGGAGGTAGTCGAACTTAAAATCTGTAGGAAATATAACCCTAATTTTCTTCACGTCTCTCAGGGTATGAGGTGTATTGTAATTCAACGCTTTTCCATCAAATTTGTCAGTAAGTTGAAATATAAAAGTGAATAGCCTGTATCTTGTTAAATGAGATTAGCAGTGTCGTTGTAATCACTTAAAATCATTCCTAAAATGATTATCATCATAAAAGTGAGTAATACCTCCTAATGACAGACCATTTAAAAATCAGTCAAAGAAATGGGAAACGTTTTTATCGGGATAAAGGTTACAATGAGTAACTGATAAAGTTCAACATAGAAAATGTTCAAACACTTAATTACGAATGTAAAACTAAATATATTTTTATTGAAAAAAATATGTAAAAGACTGATAAAAATTGCGACCGAAGTTTAATAACATTTAAGAAAACGCATAACTCAAGAATAAGATTTTTCGATTAGGTGGCTCAGAGGTTGTCGATGTTTAACCCTGATGATAAAAAACTTATTTTTAAGCCAAATAAATTGAACTAACTATATGCACTAAGAATAGAATAGTTTAAAAATACACTAACTAGGACAATACAAGTCAAGAATGATGTATGATTCACCGAAAGTGTACGTGTACAAAAAGTTTACAACTCACACCATTCCTTTACAACTCAATGCCTAATCTATATACAGTTTTATTACTCGTAAGTTTATGATATTCGGTCACCACAAATTTCTAACAGAGCTTAAATTGTGGGTGTTGAGTTTTCTTCGATGTTGTAAGAAATAGAGCAAGTATGAGATTTATTGAACGCTGGGTTAAATCGACGAGTGAGAGCATGTACTTCCAAGTTTTGCGAAATAAATCTATGAGTTTAGTTTGCTCATGAATATATATAGTAGTTATAGCATAGCGAAATCTGTGGATGGAATGATACAGTAATTAGTATGGCCGATTAGGCAAAATACTTTTTGTTAGCATCCATTGTAAAAATGTTAAAATAAATAAAATTCTGTCACTATAAACTGGAAACTGATATGGTGAGCTAATCAGAAGTAACCAAATGAGGTCAATCGATGGAAATCATAAGTGACCTGTAGGACAAGTAAATTTTATTGGCTAAGAAATATAGGGATTTTCTATAGAGTATATATATATATATATATATATATATATATATATATATATATATATATATATATATATATATATATATATATATATATATATATATATATATATATATATATATATATATATATATATATATATATATATATATATATGAGTATTTATTCATTTTATTCGTTAGCCCAATATTTTCCTCGTCAAATCCTTTGTTCTCGCTCAAGTAGTTAATTGGGAGTTAGCGCGTTACATGTCATATATGAGTATTAGATTTTGGACACCTCTCCTCACAACAGAAACTGATCTTCTTGAAGCTTTTGATGAGAAGGATTTATGATCAAGCTAGAAATCATCATCAATTTCTAGAATTTCTTTCGTAAAAAACATAGTTGTAACTGAAGATTCATCCTTAATGCATCATAACAGATTTGTGAGTACAGTATAACTTTTGTTGTCTGTCTATCTGGCTGATTCATGATATTAATATGATTTTAGACAGAAACTCAATACTGAACATTAAAATATACTCTAGCGATTAATGAATAGTAAATGTATTTAGTGATGATGACTCTTCAAAAGGTGGATGAAGTGTATATCATACAAAACATTCATCCTTATCCAGTAACCTCTGATTTTGTTATTTTAGTTTAGTATGAGATTATAATTTTTAATAAGAACTTGAAAATTTCCATTGAAATACGCTGATACAAACTATCTAATCTTCCAAATACTCAGTAATTTAGGTTGGCACTCTTATTATTATTATTATTATTATTATTATTATTATTATTATTATTATTATTATTATTATTATTAGAAGCTTTATTCAACATTATATTTTTGGTACGACATGGAATTCTCAGCATAAATTATTTCAACCTGTTTCCTTTTCTTATATCTTGATCGATTGTGACGATAAATTTTGAATGATGACCAGTTAAATGTTAGTAGTTCGGTAATCCACATTTGATTATTATTCATTCGTTTCAATGCATATTGCCGGCCACCATGATGTCGCCGATTGTACCTTTTTGCATCCCGTATAGCTAAAGGTTTGTAAACTTTTCATAAACGCGCCTGAATAGATTGTGTGCACAATAGACATAATGATGTGCTAAAACAAACAACAAAACAGATAACTTGATGAAATATGTAGATCGGAAGAATAGGTAGTCCAGATATTCAAGCAGGCCGCCTAATTCCCTCATCATCTTAATATATAAAGTTATTAGAGAATAAAGAGAAAAACATTAGGAAATATAGTGTATTAAAAGAATATGAAAATAATAAGTAAATGAAATGTATACAATTATATGTTATAACAAATATTACTTTCTCCCCTTGAATTTATTTAATTACACTTGATTTTATGTAATCTAAAAATCAGAAAGATAATGGAAGAAGGTGTTAAAATCTGATAAGTGAAAAAATTACTAGGAAAAAAAGAAGTGAAAACAAATACTGAAACATTTTTCTTATTTGTTTACAACGTCATAGTTACAAAACACCTTTCTATTGTTGTGAGAATGATTCAGCGGCGGCGGGGGGGAATTAAGTTAAAAATCAATAGTTAATCCTTTGCCAGTTATAACCATACTCTATATTCTTTAATATTGTGTGGTGAATTGAATTCTTTCAATAATACAATACAACAACAAAATAAGCTATTCATACCAGTTTATTCTGCAGCTTTCTTGTAAACAATATGAATTATTAATGAAAACAACCTCTAAAAAAAAATAATATTATAAATCAAAGTTCGTACACCTATTAGTTGAAATTTTGAGTAACTTGTGTTAGGATAAACTAAATAGACAATGGGATTGAATGATCTTTGTAATCTCACTTGTGTACTATTTTCTCTTTAAATTAGTTGATTGTGACTAGGCTATTTGATATCATGAAATATCATATTTATGTTTTCGATAAGTCTACAAAATTCATCCTTTTTTGCTGTACAGATAACATTGAGAATTACACTATTATTGATCCTTAATTGATTCTATATATATTACTATTGTTAACAAATCGAAAAGAAATTCAGTTGAAATTTCTGATCATAGATACTACTTTGTTAGATCATTTCCTTTTAGCATTTTATTAAGTATTTTCAAAGTTTTTCTTTATTCTTCTCAATACTTTTTTGATGTAATAGTTCAATGTTTGATTTAAATCATCTAAAGATAAGTATTTAACAAGAGAGGATAGTGAAGATGAGTCTCAATTCATAAATTTCACCACATATTGTCTGAACTATAATTTAATTCATTCAATAGTTTCTTTACTATTGACATGAACATAGACTTTTCATTGTTAAATGCTAGATTCTTTCGATCAAAAACTGAATCATTATCGGCTTATTATCCAAAGCAATTAGGTTTCAAATTGTGTTCACATTATTATTACTACTCTTATTATTATCCCTGTCTCTTTTTACCCCATTTCCAGTCTAATCGACCTTTTATTTTTTTATTTATAAATGTTCTTAACAAGCATATGTGTGATCAGATTGTTCAAAATGTATTACGCTAATATATCACATAGTTCTGATAATCTTCGCGTTCTTATTTCATTATCGAAATTTATCAAAGAGACTAATTGCTTTGAATCATCATAACAATTTTTTTAAAAATAAGCTACCCACATCCAACCACGAATGATCCATTGAAGTAATCAGTGTTTTTCCATAAAACTAAACAATTTGGTTTGTATGTTAGTGACCATATCTTCTATGATAAATAATTTGAATAATGTACCAGAATTTTTCACCATTCCATTGAAGTTTTAATAATCCAATAACTACACATGTTACGAAAAATACAATGGCTGTGGTCATGAGCAAAAATCTTATGCTTGGAGCATGTATTACTGAGAGAAGAGCTAAAAAAATATCAGACATGTTAAAAAAGAAAAAAACATTATAGTATGAGGGTAAAAATGAAGTGTACAAATAATACGAACAGATTTTCACATATTAAACACTTTAAGGCTAACTTACCTTATATGTTTCTCAAGCTGTTTTTCAGCATTTTAATCAGGACTAATTTTTATTGAAACCAACATCTTTGGTTTACATAAAATACGAGAAAGCTATGACTTTTAAACAATTAATAAGTTTCTAAGTTTCTACTGATATACCAGGTCACTGAGTAAAATGTAAGAATCGGTCTCTGAAGTGACTGTAGTTCTTTCAACTTACCTACAGTAGCACTGAAAATCAACTGAACTTGAAGATTAATTTGTCGTAATGTTTGCCTGATAGAAAAGGTAGATACTGTGAAGTAATAACACAAATAATTTTTTTACACTAACATTTTGGGCCTAAAATAAAACCGATGAAGTAAATGAGCGGATAACACGTCAGTTTTCGATTTATTTAAAATGAAAGAAAGAAATCCATTATGTAATTTAAAAAGAATGAAGACAATTCCATGAAGATTTTCTTCAACGATTTCATTTACTTCAGCTATACAGTATTTTTTCTCTTATAATGGTAACCTACAGTAAAATAGAATGTTATTGAATAATTAAAAATACTGAAATGCTATCTTGAACTCTGAATCAGTGATTTGAGGTGATGCACGCTCCACTAGATCTCATTATTATGATTTTTATCCGGTATGGAATCGCTGGTGTCCATAGTCAACAGATCTTAAACTAGTATTCCCTCGTTTTCAATTGTTCCACAAATTATTTCAGCCAATGAAATCAAACATGTTCGAATTAAGTCCATTTCTATAAACTCCACAACTTGACCATTCTGTCCATACTTATCGATTATAAGTATGCCTGTAAAGTATTTGTTAGAATTCGCAACAGAAGTAAACTACTCTTATCACATGATACATTTATAATTCTGTAATGTTTCACTGATAAAACGCACTTAAATTGTCCTCTCAGTGTAACGAGAATGGAAATAATAAACATACTGTAGTGAACAGAACACGGGTAGGGACAATCGAGTGTATTTGACACAAAATTACAGGACTTGTTAATAAAATCTAACAATCAAATAGTAAATACGTAATTTACATAATGTCCATCAACTGTCTCATAATGACTCAGACTTCATTGCTCTTGCATTTTCATACAAATTGCATTATGTTCCCATTCTTTATTGTTCAATCCTCTTTTCTCTCTGCTACCAGACATTCTGTTCACAAGTAACGTCTTATACTACTTATGTCGATATAAGTAGCACATACCACAATACTATGATATTATCTACGATTTACTTAAAATCTACTAAGCATTCAATTTAATCTGAAGTACATTAAATGATTTGTAAATGATTGAAAATTTCATAATTTTGTAAATTTTAATTACTGTTTCATTTTTCTTCACTTCAAACTGTAGATTATCATACAGTAAGTGAAGATCTTTTCTTTTTCTGAATGATGTTTATGTGCAATGCAGCAAACCAATTTATTTGTTTGTAAAAGTAATAACAAAAGTTAGTCATCATTTTGCTAAAGGAAGGTCAGATGTTTTTGAAAAACACATTCTTTTTTTTGTAGATAATGCAATCCTGATTCAAGATTGTACAGATGAATTACTTTGCATTGATTCATTGTTTTGTTGTTGTTGCTATTTGCGGCTGCATTAATACCTTACTTTGTGCATTTTCAGCAATAACACTAAATGAATGTTATTTTTCATACTGATAGCATGTTTCGGTGTACTGACATTTTATTCAAATCGACCTAAAGAAGTACATTACCTGTTATGGGATCAGAGGCTTTTTCAGCAAAATGCTCAGCTAGAGAGAAATTTTAGGTATGCGAAACAGAATTAACCCTAAGGATCGGTAGTTTTTAGAGACAAAGTGATCGAATACCCATTAATTTAGGGATGCCAGTACTAGTGTCAAATTAACGATGCTTCGAAATGTAAACAAGCATCATTAATTGATGTGGTTCTGTTCTTGATGTCTAAAGCATCTATTCATCGAATGCTTTTGAAGTACTTCTTGTCCACACAGACTGTTGAAATGTTTCCGCTTGAGCACTTTACCCGTATGAATTGATACAGTTCATGAATGTCATTGATAAGTTTCGGTTTACACAAGCGAAATCGACATATGAAATTTTAGAACACACCATCGGTCCTGCTAGTAAACATAGATGGCATCCAAAAACCCGTATTCAGAATAATTAATGTCATGGGAAGAAACGTGTATGATAAAACGATGTCATAATTATAGATCTAGATATATATAATTTGACCTTGATTTCTTTCTAACTCCGAATAATTGTGTTATTGACAAACCGGTTAGTTAAATCAGTCAGTCGCTGGTTAATAAATGGTATTGAGTTATTTAGCCTTAATTTATCTAATTTAGGACATATAATTAAACTGAACTTAAGCAGACAAATATGGTAAACATTAAATAAATAGGTATTTAATCAAGGAAACAGGTGTAGGGTAAACAAATTACAGATCGGTTTATGTCCTACAACCAATAAAGGACAAATGTTAAATTTATATACAGTATTCTGTTATCAGTTTTCCAGCATATTACTTACTGTTGAGGATAAAGTCATATAGCCTGGCTTTTCCTATACACCCAAGACCACTGATCAGTGAATTAATGGTGTAACGTTGTATTTTCGTGTAATTATCCTTGGTCTCTTAAAAATCTTTATCCAACTAATTTACAAGATACAGATTAGTGCACTTGACTTTGACAGTTATCTCAAATTATATCTACAGTTTGATTTGAAGATAGTTTAAACCACAAACTAACTTTGCATAAATACACATTAAAAAGCCGAATTAAAATAGACAGTATATTTTGTGGCTCCAATAGGCTGCACCAACTGTTGTCATCCTCAAGGATCAAAATCACAACTTTCAGGATTCACAACGAATGATTTTGTGTGCCTTTTTAAGAATATTTCACTTGACTAACAACCATCTAAAAATCATTCGAGTTTAAAAATAGTGTGCTCTAGGACTTATAAATTTTAAAAAAATTTCTAGTTGTTATAACTTGTCGTTTGAATGCTTATTGTCTTGGCTCTTTTAATACTACTTTTTGTATCTGGTTGATTGTTATGTGGGAAACGCTTATCACTTATACTCGGAACAATGGACCTCTGCAATTCCCACGACACGAAAGTAAGACCAAAAAGACTGGTATAAGTGATGATTTATTAACCCCAAAACACGACGGCGACTCTATTTGATTGATTGCACATCCACTTCGATTAATAATTAGGATGAAATCACATATATAACAAGTCACAGACTTAGCATAGTTCATGTCAATGGAATACAAGAATATCTCATATTATACAGAATAAAATATCATACGAGAAAACAAAACAAATACTACATTGAGTCGTCATGTATCAGAACGAAAGTAATCTTGAACAAAACTCATAATGAGTAAATCAATCGAAAATTGACTTTTCTTCCCATCATATCACTAGTCATGATTATTTGTGCTTGGTCAAATTTCGGAAAATAATTTATATCTTTTTGCTACCAAATTATGTTCATACACCATTTTTAACAAATTGACAGAGAAATTAGTCCGTGTGTAAATGGCTTAAAATAATGAGCATATCTTAATAATTCTTATTTAGCTGAAAGTTCTTAAATAGTGAATCCTTGAGTTCATCTAAAATCTACTGTAATAGTTTAACTAGTTTGATTTGAGTTTAACAATAAGGCGTAAGTCTACTTAAACAGTGAATTTAAAGTCTATACTATAATAGACAGTTAAACATTTTTATTATTAACGCCCCTGATACAATTTCTCGTTATAACAATGATACTAACTGACTGTACAGAAAGAAATTATGGGTTCGATGTTTTAGATAAGTAAATCGGTAGTTAGAAAACCATGATATTTTTACTAGAGTAGAAGTTATAAAATATAGTATGATTTATGTCAAAAAGGTTTGCGATCTCCGAAAACTTCACATTAGTCTTAATTTAACTCATTCCTATTGTTTTACAGAATCCGTAATTTTGAAACAGATTATATCACAGACCTGTTTCAAGTAGAGGATCACAAGAATATATAAAAGTTCCATCAAGAGAACTGGGGTCAATTCTGAAAGGCGGTTAAGTTTATCTAAGTGTAAAATCAATTTACATTTGTTGAAAAATCCGGATAGCTTTTTACTCTTAATACGCGAATCCATTATGGTAAATGCACTAATTCTTGATCAGATGAAATCATAATATTCAGGCTTTGAAAAAAAAATAGATTTCTGTATTTTTTTTAAAAATCCAGGTAACCATAGTGAATTAATTAAATAATTAATCTTAACTCAAACAATATTTCTCAGTCAGATATATAATTGACCATGTGATCCGCAAAAATCATTATTTGTTTGTATTGAAAACTAAATTAATTAAATTGAGTTCAGAATATTCAACTGTTCATAGCTCTCAAATATTATCTATGAAACTGATAACCATATGAATTACATTGAAAATGAAAATTATCGTCAAGCTGTTGATTATCTGCAATATTTATTAATGAAAAGAAAAAGTAAAACAGTTGCTTAATAGTTGAGTTCATGAGTCAATTGAAGCTAGACCACCATGAATAACCTGAAAGCACTGGACAGCCGTTTTGTCCTAGTGTGGGACTCGTCAGCAGTACGCATCCACGATCCCTCCCTGGATTCGAATCCAGGACCTACCAGTCTCACGTGCGAATGCCCAACCTCTAGACCACTGAGCCGGTATCCAACTGTATTAATGTCTAACTTCAACCAATCCACGAAGTTGAGCCACCATCCAGTGCTTCCAGGTTTTCCATGGTGATCTAGCTTCAATTGATTCATGAAATCAACTAATAAATTACCATAATATCCACGAAACCCCATCATGATAGTAAAATAGTTGTTAATTTACAATAAATTGATTACATTACTGCTTACCAGTAATTTCATCTTTGCCCATTATTATTTCCCGTGTTTAATTTACAAAATTATTCAGTCAAATATTCACAACAGAAAAAAGATTTGGTATTAGAAACCGATAATTTAATCGTTGACAAAGTGTTTCAAAAGATTTCAATGAATTTAATAATGAATATCTGGAGCATTTCTTAATTGTGACTTATATGTTATGTGTGAAATTCTAAGCTCAGTTTATATAAATTGCCTTAACCTAGAGAAAATCAATGATCTTTCAGGTTATATTTTGATTGGTAAGAAGTGATTTTTGTATATCACATGTACAATGTATGTGACCATTAATTTGTAACTATAACATGTACATGAAACAAAATTACATTAGAGTAGTTCAGGTCTTTTGATTAATTTTTTTTTAAATGAATTTAATTTATGACAAAAATGACAATTTTTGTCAACGAAAATAACATAGAACTTCTTAAACTACGAATTGCAAATTCAGACTAATATATACATATGACATTATTGATGTAAACAGGCAAAAGAGAGGGGAAACTTACTGACATTTATGAAAGAAAAAACTATCATTCTATTACTAAAAATTTAATTAGAATCTGGTATATTTAGAATTAGAGAGGGGTTTTGTGTATATTTTAGTAATTTAATCGTTGAATTCATGAGTCAATTGAAGCTAGACCACCACGGATAACCTGAAAGCACTGGACGGCCGTTTGATCAATTGCTTAAAAACAAATTCTTGTGGACATTCTTCTCCTTATCTAATTAATAACTGTGTCCTACCTTCAGTGAAATATTCAATGCAATAATACTAAATATCTTCATGAATGTTGGATAAATAGTTATATTTTGAATAATGATCATTGAATAGAGTAATATATTTCAACATATGGTCTAAATTGACCATGAAATTATGAGTTCAGCTTTATCATCAAGAAATGTATGTTATTCTACATTATACATTTATAATTCAGAAAAATGTATACATTAACTCATGCATTAGTGTTAATTCAATTTTAATTTTTATATATGAATTAGCTAGGATTTTCAATGAATATATATATTTTATTTGAATTTATTTGAACACATGTATATTGGTTCAAGGAGACACCAGATACATATGCACCACACAAATCTTATTTGATTTGTATGAGGGCTAGGATACTGCCCGGGTGCCCAAACCGAAACAGGTGATTTTCTTAAGGGGCCACAACCAGAGCTTTCGACGTAAAGGTTTGATCCACAAGGTAGTGGTGCAACGTCAGGAGATGTAGTCCCATGGTAGACAGTGACCAACGATTGGTTCACAAGCCATTTGTTCATGTGCACCATTGGTTTGGAATCAGTGTTTTGCAATTCCCCTAGGTTGAGCCTCCGTGTTCACCGACCCGGGTAAAGCTCCGGACATTTGCTTTACGTCCTCTCAATTTTGTTAACGATATCCTTGCCACGAGAAGGCAGTGAGTAGAACTTCTCTGTTAGTGGTTGTATGCACGTGGCCATGTGAGAGCATTTCGAGAGGGAGAGCGAACTCTTCCCACTCTCGGCATTTGGGGGCTATGAATATAACTATTAGATTTACAACTAAATGATACTTGTTTTTAACAATTCATGATAGGTATTACATATACGGAGTTGAGTTATACAGTATTATGCTTCAACTTTCTTGACAAATTTTACCTTGGGATTTAACATCAGCACATGTTTTTTTGTTTAATTAGTTGGATTCACCACTCGAATTACATCCAGTCACATAAATACGTTTAAGTTATTTCTATAGTATAGACTTTTCTAGAAGTTTTCAAATATTTTACATTGTCTTAGAAGTTAAATCCCTATAGTTGTATAATTAATTTCAGTTCTCGCATAACCTATTCATAACTGAAAGGTAATGAAATTCTAGATTAAAAAGTGAAAATTTCTATTGTATGTTCTCTCGATATCAAATGAAGTGACATGTCCACTAATTATATTGACTAAAGAAGTTGATAAATATGCTTAAGACTTGTTCACGATTTAATCACTAATCACTTTGTTAAAATAGAGACAAAATTGACCTGACTTGACTTAAATAAGTAGTAAATCTAATACATGATTTCAGATAATATTTATTTAATCGTCGATTACTGGATTATATAAGGCTTTTTTAGCTTCGATTTCACTTTAGGATATTAATAAATTCTGTGAGCTAAAAGGTGGAATGAGAATATGTGAATAATTTTCATACACTGAATTGATAAATCAATATTTTAACCCATACGAATGATACATTCCTGTTATCTGAAGAGTTGCTTTCATAGCACACTAATCTGGTAGATGATGCTTTAATATTCTAAAGATATGCCTTAAAAATACAAATGTTATGGTGGTTCGGAAATTTCACTTACATAGAAGTGAATTTAACTTCTGAGTTACGAAAAAGAGATGAAACACTTTAAGACGTAATATTGTAGTGTGTGCTACTGATGTCGACAGATATAAGTAGTATGTATCATCAATGGAAAGTGAAATGTCTGGTGGCAAAAGGTTAAGAAGATCAAGGAAAAGAGAAGGAGAACAGGAAGTTATTTGTATAGAAACTAAGGAATAGTCAAGTCTGAAACAACTAATTGTTATTTTCCAAATGAGGTATTTACTATATGGTTCTTAGACGTTACTAAAACATACATCCGATAGTATCCACTTGTATTCTCGTTCACTACTACATTTGTTTGACTTACTTTATGTCACATAGAATTGTTTTGATACTTTTTTTATTATTTTCTGTTTTTCGAATAAATTAACAGAAAAATGATGATTGTTTTCCAGTTATTAGATTTAAAAATTAACAAATAAAACTTAAACTTAAAAAAAATTCTATTAATTTTTGGCTTAAGATAGAAACGTTTGTGAGGATTTTTTCATCCTTTGAAAATGATTTTAGTCATAAACTAACGCTAGAGTGTAAATTTAGAATGAAATCAATATAATGAACTTAATTATCTTGTTTGACTAATAGTCATGATTCAGTAGAGTTAACTGGAGTGGTATAACTGCTTAACCTACATAATGTTACACTGAAGCTACATCATATTATGAAACCTCACCCAGGTCCACCCAGTTCTAGCCGCCTATTACTTTAGTATATTCTGAAATGAAATTCTACCAGGCAGTTATATTTGAGAGTCTAGATTCAAGTAAAAAGAGGTAGACAGGTTATAACAAAGCCACTGAATCTGGAGGTTTTATACAATCAATCGATTAATCAGTATTAATCCCGATTTATCTTGATGAGTCGCAATAAACCATCGAGTGTTTTTAGTGATCAGTTTTCCAATGTACGGGTACACTTACTATTGTTGTTTAGTTTAATCTAAAACCTGCGAATTCACCGCAGAACAGTGGATGTCTAATACCTGTTTTGCCCTACTTTAGGACCACCCAGTAGTGAGTACTCACAATTACATACCTACAGGTTTTGTAGCAACCATGATAAAAATACAATAAATTTCCAGTACAAACTAACTTACTCTTTAACCAACTTCAGTTCATAACAATATCGTACAAAATTCTATGAGATCATTTAGATATTCCTGAAAAAACTGATAAGTAATTTATTAATCCCAAGATCAATGATCAAATCTACAAGTAAACATTTCAGGACAAACATGATTCTTTTACATTATCCATACATAATTTCTTATGACTACGGCTTATAAAGTTTCTTGAATTTGATCTGCTCTTTTACTTAATCTTTACGTTGATTGTATCAGAAAACTATAGTGATTGCTAACAACCGACAAAACAATCACTAGCAACTTGTGGATTTAAAAACGTTTGAAGAAGTTTACGATTGAAAATCAACATGTTTTATGACTGATAGATAATTTTTGAAAATGGTATTCACATAACTTTATATATCGTAATCTCATTCAATGAACTAGTTATACAACAGATAATTTGTGTATCGATTAGTACTCGTTATCACTATGATCTTTCTACAGTTGATGAGCACAACTAAGTTAAACAGCCACTAGTGCAGTCTGTTTGGGAAGACTGTATAGAAGTGTTATTTAAAATTAACTGAAGTTACTCGAAGGTTAACTGTAAATTAAAATTTGCTTTATAGAAACATTTATCTTTTCATGCCACATAGTTTACAAAAAGGCCAAAGTCTGACTTCATATATTTGCCACCTATTCCTACTAGTAACTAAATTTATACGAAGCCATAAACATGATTAATGAAAATATCCAAATATTTTTGTGAATGTTTCAATAAACTGTTATCAAATCAATATGATAGAAAAACGTGGAGTTCATAAAATGTTGTAGTAAAAACTAAACTCTTCTTGAATAAGTGTGGATATATTTATTTTTTAACATTATGAATATTTCTTTAGTATCATAGTTCAAAAATATGAATCTTAATGTAATAAAAATGCCCTTATCTAATAAATCTTAAATTAAGCAAAATATTCTTAATTCAAATCTAAATAATTATGATTAAATGGTATTAGATTTATTGACTTTTAAGTACCTGTTAATTCGACTGCAGCCGCGAAACAAACACACTTCAGATAGATCCTCTCGGACTATTACACGAAATTCAGAACGCTGTAACGGTTATTAAATTCACTTGGCACTGTTTACTTGAATCTTCCCATTGATGTTTAGGACTGCGATTAATCAGTCTCTTATTGGCATATGTTCATGCTGTGTGTATTGCCTCGATATTGACTTCATTCATAAAAGTATTATAAGCAAAGATGGATAATGGCTAGCAGTGGAATCCAGGACGCGTGTTTCGTCATATTTGATAACGCAATTGCATTTGAGGCGAACGGTACTGGATTCCAGTCCCAGAGTGGACATCCAGGTGGCTAGTTTCAAATAGAAAAAAACGCGCGTCCTAGATTACATTGCTAGCCACTATCCATTTTTCCTTATAATTCTGTAACGGTTAGTTTGCACTTTTTTTAAAACCGAGTAAAACCCATCAAAAATTATAAAAAATGATAACGAGTTTTAGAAATTACTTACTCATATT